AGATCAATTACTAATTGCAACAAAATCTCCTGAGTCCCCCACAAAGTGCCAGTAATGCTCTGTACTCAGGACACAGCAAGGGTGAGAGGACTGTGATCCTGCACCACGGGGCCAACACACAAGAAGAGTGACACACGTTATACACAAGTGAGCAAACCAGGTGCGATCACAAGAGCCGTGCAACACACCAGAGGGGCGTGAGTGGAAGGACCAGCATGCTGTGCTGGGCTGTCAGGGACAGCATCTCCGACAAGACAGCACTGCAGCAGAGGTCAAAAGGAAGAGGAAGACAAGCAGGAAGGTCATTTATACAGCAGAACTTCATTGAACAGCTACTCTGCCACCCACAACCTGAGGCACTAGACATAGGGACAGAAATAGAACAGACCAAAGGTTTCTCAGACAGAGCTCAGAGAGAAGAGAAGCAATGTCTGGGAGCAGCCAGGGGCCAGGACCTGGGCCACAGTCCCCGGGGAGCAAGGGGGTGAAATTCAGGATGAACTACAAAGTGCCCAGGCCTCCAATAGAACTGCTTCTGCAGTGCAGCCCCCACAAAGCTGTGGAGGAAGAAACCTGGAGGGTGCCCAGTCTCCCCACCCTTCCAGGGGCCTATACCACTCAACTGTCTGGAAAGGAGAAGGCAAGGACCTCCTGAAAAATGCCACCACTCCACCTGAGCAGTGCCAACTGTGACCTCCATGGTCACTGCTCACTCACTTCAGAGCCTCCCCATCAGCAGGCACCAGCAGGCTCTACAGTTGGCTGTGCTTTCCTACTTGGAAGTTTCCAGGATCTACCCCAGGGGTCTACTCATAAGGTCTGAGCAGACGCTGGGAATAAGCATGTCAAAGTTGTAAACATGATTAAATAATGAGCAGGAATGAAAACAACACCTCATTACCAAAGATTTATGTGTGGCAAGCCAGCACATGAAATGATGCAGCATCATTAGTAAATAGGGAAATGCAAATTAGAGAGATGCCACTGTGCACCCATTAAAACTGGCTAAAAGGTAAAAGGCTGACAATGACAAGTGCTGACAAAGACGTGGAGCAATTAGAGATCTCAGTCATTGCCAGCAGACATGCAAATTGATCAATGAAAACATACTCTTGCCTTATAATCCAACAATTGCACTCCTAGGCCCTTACCTAGGAGATGGGCCTGTGGGGAGGGTGGGGAATAGATACCCTTGTTACAATGTGCACATGAAGGTTTACAGCAGATATACTTTGTAATGAACAAAACTGGAATGAACCCAAGTGTCCATAAACTGGTGAACAAATACACACACTTTGGTGTGTTGACAGATCAGAAAATGACTCAGCCAAAGAACTGCACTGCTGACACACACAACATGAGTCTCAGAGAGCATGATGCTAAGTAAAAGATGCCACACAAGTCTACAGTGTGTGACTCCAGGTGAAGGAAACTCCAGAGCCAGAAGAGTAGTTCCCAGGGAAACAGGGTGTGAGGGTGGGGGGGTCACAGCAAGAGACACTGTTCAGGGAGACAGAAATGCTCTACAGTGATTGGGGTAGTTGTTATACTCCTAAACTTAAAATAGGCAGGCTGTATTATATGTAAATTAGGCCTCAATAGAGCTAACAGGAAGAGGAGGAGAGGAGAAGAGAAAAGGAGTGAGAGGTGGAGGGAACGAACAAGAAGAGGGGGAGAGGAAGGAGGAGGACAATGAGGAGGAAATAATCACCAAAGTTGACCTGGCTATCACCTATTGAGTGAATAAACAAATGTATGGCTGGACTTGGAGATGCTTATGACCGAAATCCTTCCTGAGCAGCTGGAAGCCCAAACTTTAGTGGAACACAGGGCTCACTGAGATCAAAGTTCCACTTTCCTAGTTCCCATACAGCTACAGCTAAGTACAACTACACCACTAAATTAGGCCAACAGATATTAGCAGTACTATGAGCAACTGACATGAGAAAGTATGCCCTTCTCTATCTCTGGCTTATTATTCTTGCTAGTGAAATGTAAATGTGATAAAGAACACTAAGCAGCCAACCCGGGCCCTAAGGTTAAAGTCAATTGGCTGACAAAGAACTAGTACTGAAAACAGTAACAGACTTCTGCCTGCTGAAGCCACTATGTCACAGATTTGCTGTTGCTTATGAATGCCTCTGAGCTGAACCTCCACAATGCCAGAAATCAGAATTTGATTTTGCCTATTGGCCATGAAAAGATTCACATTTTAATACTTTTCCTGAAGCCCTAGTTCATCATTTAATTTCTCCACACACAAGGCTATTCCTCAGGTTACCCACTTACCTCCCTTGGCCAGCATACATGAGCCTGGCCACTTCCCAAAGGCCCACCAGCTCTGCAGATGCATGCCCCCTGCTCAGTCCTGCAGCCCTGCTGAGTAGCCCCACTCCTGGGGAAGCACAGGAGCTGAATGAGCCCCATGGCCAGGAGGCGCTCCAAGTCAGCAGGACCAAGGCAACAGAACCCAAGATGCCCAGCTGGCACCAACTTGTGGTGACTCTGGATCCATATTTTGAGACTAAGAGGCCCTCAAGGTCAGCTCTACAAGGAATGTGGTAAGTGGTAGGAAAAAACACACGAAAATACACCAAAGGTCTATGTTCCATTAAGAAAAAAAGAAGTAAAAAGAAGTCACTATGCATTATCTCGTTTCCAGATACAATACGCATACCACTGGAAAGAGCCATCAAAGAGAAGTATCTCAAAATGACTGCTTCTGTTGAAACATTTTCTCCTTTTGTGTTCTACAATCTAGGCGTGCTTTCACTTTACCAATGCTGCATTTTTTAAACAGATCTCTTGTGCCTTGCACAGACAAGAGATGTCAAAGTTTAAATGTGCATTTACTATGGCTATCAAGATGGAAGACAAAATATTTCAAAAGACGAAATACTTTGTAAAGAAATTTTTTAAACTTCTTTAAAATGTATTGAAAATAGTCTAAAATGGAGGAAACTAATATGTTCATAAAAATGAAAACTGACATTTAATAAAAATGTCAACTCTCCCAAATGGATCTAGAGATTCCATGCAATTTCAGTCATAAATCAAACCCCAAACCTTGGCAATCTGACTCTGAGACTTCTGTGAAAGAGCAAAGAGTAAGCCTACCCAGTCAGTTCTGAAGAGGAGAAAGAAAGGGAGTGAACCCCCCTGCCAAATATTAAGACGTTACAAAGCTAATTTAGTTAGCAGGTGTAAAATTAAAAGAAGAGAAACTGAATACTAAGACACAACAGAGAACACAGACCAGATTCATGTGAATGTGACAATGATACAAAACAGAAGTGACATGGAGAAAAGAGTTCACAAATGGTACTAAGACTGACTACTCTTGCAGACACAGCTACCACTTACAAATAAATTAAACACAGATGTGTGGAAAGCAAACCATGTAGATAAAAATGTAGGAGAATGCCTACATGATGTATGTACAGAAAAATATTTGGGGAGGAGGAGACAGTATTGAGATTTTTTAACTCCGAGCCTTATGTTTGTTAAGCAGGCACTCTACCACTTGAGCCATGTCCCCAGTCCTTTCTGCTTCAGTTCTTTTGTGGATAGGGTCTTGCACATTTATTCCCCAGGGCCAGCACAGACTGCCATCCTCCTATCTATGGCCTCTTGTGTAGCTGGGATTATAGGCATAAGCCAGGTGCCTGGCTAAAAAAAGATTTCTTAAGTAAAGCATATCAGTGCTGACCATAAAAAAGTGGTGAATTCAACTTCACCAAAAAAAAAAAAATTATCATCAACAGCCATGAAGAAGAAAGTGAAATGTAAGCCACAGAACAGAAGAAGATATTTGTAACATACAAACAATCAAAGAATTAGAATCCTATATTTGGGATTCTACAACCAATAAAGAATTACACCAATAACCCAAGTAACAATGAAAAAAGACAGGAATAAGTTATTTTCCAGAAGGGGGGACACAGAAGATGCCCACAAATATATAAAGAGATATTTAATCCATTAGTTATTAGAGAAATGAAAACCAGAAGCATGACAAGAATATCACAAGATAAACAAAGACTGAGAAGCCTGGCCATGTTGAGAATTGGCAAGTGTGTGGAATTCCTTGAAACTCCAAGACTACAAGGGAGTCTCATTCACAAAGCTCCTCTGGGAAGCGTCTTGGCATTATCTTGAAAGTCTAACGGGCACGTCCCCAACAATGAACAACTGGATCCCTCTGAAATGCTGTGGAGAAATTCTTTCTGTGGGTACCTGCACAAATGGACACAAAGGTTCCAGTGTTGCTCCTAGCAACAAAACATTAGCAACAGCCCAAATGTTCACCCACAGGGAACAAGCTAAAGACAGTGTAGGATATTCAAACAGCATTACACAAGTCACAGGTTAGCTGACTCTTACAAAATCAAGTAGAGATAAAACACAATATGCAGAGACTGGACTACAGTTCCAAGAAATACAACATTAAAGTACAGGTTATTTTCTTAGTATTAAAATTAGAATTGTAAATGCAAAAATCAGGGGGACAGGACGTGTGGCCCAAGTGGTACAGCCAAGAAGGTATAAGGCCTTGAGTTCAAACCCCAACACCACCAGAGAGAGATAGAGAGAGGAAAGAGAGACAGACCAACAGTCAGGAGTGGGCTAGTCCATCTCCTGTGAGCTGCCAGAGAAGAGAACACGGATAGGCAGGTTCAACACCATCTATATACAGTGGTCAGCACTGGTGGGGTTTTACTTCATAAATTCAGGGGTAGATCATGAATTTACATTATTTAGATATGCATATTTATGCATACTTATTACATATATTCCTTTTATGCATCAAATTACACAAGAAAATACTTTAAGAACAAGAAGTACTTCCTATCAACAAAAATGTCCACTACGGCCAAACTCTCCAGAAACTAGCCAACCAACTTGCCTCTGGGCAGTCACTCTCCTGTTAATACAGTGAGCCTCAGATACTCACAGCAAACAAAACCCCATGGCAGGAAACCCACCCCAGCTCCTCTTACCTCCGTCACCTTAGGCTGAAGTATTAGTGCTTCAGGGCTCATCCGAGGGATGTCTATGTGGATCTGGAGAGGCAGGAGAAAGGTAAGTTTACTCTAAAGGATGAAAGCATCACAACAAGCTTTGTGATTAAGACAGCAGTACTTGGTGACGTACGTACTTTGTCTCTCTGAGGACACAAACTGTTAACAGGCCTCCCCTGGAGAAGGTCTACAAAAGCACATTCCATCTGACCAAGGATCTCCCCATCCTCAGATGACAGGCTCGCCTGACACCCTCCCAATAAAGCAGTGCTGGCTGCATGTTTAGGAACAGAGCAAGCCCTCAGCTATTTAGTAACATAATCCATAGCAATTAGTAAATATTGATTTTTGGCCTCTGACACAGACAGCAATTCAAGTACATCAATAGTGCACAGGATTTCAGCTGTGGCAGCACTTTCTTAGAAGGCAGGCCACATTCTCCTCCACTTCACAAGGTCCTTGGGGAAACTAGGACACTTTTCAAAGGAAGTGTTTGAAAGTCTTGGCCAGTATTGGCCAATTCCTATTTGGCTGCCATCTGACATGAGCATCTCATAACAGTGTTCCCAACACTGCAAAGGAAGCACTAGCAGGTTTAAGAAGCAACCAAATAGGAATGTCTGAACAGGGCTGCATCATAGGCAGGCTCCCACATCCCATTAGAACATTCCACACAGCCACCACTATTGTCACTCGTATTGCTCCAGGGCAACAGCCCAAACAGGCTGATAGAAGACACACACATTTTAACCAGTAAGGACTTTCATCTCATTTCAGCTCATCATTGCCCACACCCATGGGAAAGTCTAACGTCCTGGAGACTGGGAAGATGGTTTCAGTCTGCCACTCATTGGCCTGTGGACTTGGATAAACTATAAGGGCTCTGGGCTCATCCTCGTCTACAAAAGGCCTGCTCAGTTATAGGTGAAAACCAAGGAAGTCCACAGACTAACAGAACAAGCTGAGATAAACATGCAACTGAGACACACGTGGGAGATACTGTGGGCAGCCATGCAGTGAAGGGAAAAGCCATGCAGACTGGCAGAATCAGAGGACTCCAGCCGGTCACATTCAGGAACCCAGGAGTAGGTAGAGTCAAGAGCCACCAGGTCTGCTAATGGGGCATCCTGGAGGGCCATCACCAGTATGCTGCTCCCATCAGTGACACTCCTGTAGGCACAAGCACTTTGGGCTCCGGCAGGGTAGGAAATAGGTCTGAGCCACCACTGTAGGCCCAGGGCCAGTATGGCCCACTTTACACAAGAGCTGCAGGAAGAAAATTATTACATGGACATGGACAGGAGGGTGCACAAGTCATACACAACACCCTGCCAGCACTAGAGAAGGGGACCTCTCTCCTGCCCCCATCCTGCAGAGGACTGGGTCTGCAGAACTGATCTAAAGGGAAACTCACAGGAGAAAGCCAACTCTGACCACCCCCATACGGCTCTGACATGCCATCTTCCGCAGAAGAGTAAACATGGAAAAATCAAGTGGAGAAAAGACAAAAGTGTGGGGAACAGGTCAGGCATTGCCTGCTGGAGCATAAGAACAGGGCCCTCGGCTCTGCCTGAAATGGCAGCAGCAAGAAAGATGGTGAAGTTCCAAGAGGCAAACTGCTCGACAGGCAGCAAGAAGAGCCAATCACTTACATCACATTTTCTAATTTAGATTAATGTGAAACTACCTTGGGAACTCAAAATACTAAGAGTACCTATCATAGTAACCAAAGAAAGATGTGTGCAACCTGTCTGTAACAGAACTTTCCCTTTCATGGTTTGTAAGAGAATGCAGCCTGGAAAATCCTGCAGATAGCTGCTAGTGCCATTCTTCGTGGTCTTTTTTCTTAATATAATTTTGAACACCAAAAGCATGTTCAAAATTATACCCAATTTACCTATTTCCCAAAGTCAGTGAAACGGAAAAGTAAACCAGGTAAGCGAAAACTCCCCTACCGAAATCCAAACACCATCTGTGTCCAATCAGCTCCCCACAGTAACTGGGTGGCAGCCCAGTGTGACCCAAGAGCCACCCAACACCCTGCACCAGGTACAGTGCAGGTGGAAGTGGGGGTCACCGAGGAAGGAGCTAGAAGTAGGCTCCTGACCAGTCTCCCTGCTGCCCTCTTCAGCAAGTCACAGCAGTGCTGGGGCCTCGAAAGCCTCTTGTTTATGAGGAAGATGCTTGCCAAGAAACCACATCACCAAAAGAATCTTTGTGAGTCAGAGGGAAGGCCTATCTTCAACCTTTCTAACAGAGCTGCAGCAAAGTGACGAGAGGCAGCTGCCCTGCATCACAGCAGAAGCCTCTGGCACAGCTCCTCCACCTGAAGTACGTGCAGAAGGGACCCTCGATACCAGCAGGCCCAGGAGACAGATGGCACAGACATGAGACAGTGAAATCAGTCAAGGACCACCATTCTGAACGGTCACATGGCACACAAAGAGTAAACACTATAAAGTCCTCAAGAGCCATTCTAACAGCAAAGTCTAGATGTGTTGTGAATTGTAAACTAACTTTAAGTGTTTTCCCATTAAGCACATCATCTATTGACTGATCAATAAAGAAAATGTATTTGTATCCCTTTTTTATTAATCTAAATAGCACAATGATAAACTAGCGACACCTTTGGCTACAGACTGAGTGTGACCCTCCAAAATTAAGCTAATTTGCCTTTTATTTATCTATCTCTTTCTACAGACTGCACCAAAGAGCACAGCGCCATCCTATCCAGGGGGTCTCTGTCATCACGTTGTCCATCCAGTCCAGTGGGGTCTCTGCCATGGCACCATCTGCTTGATGCTGTCCTGGCCTTGAAGAGCAGGTTAGACCCTCAGAAGGTAGTTCACCAGGACCCCAGTCACCTACCCTCACCTGCCCTCACCTGAGGCAGAGTGTGGGACACTGCTAACAGAAGCTCTAGCATCTCTTTTGTAACTCCACGAAAACACCTTTTTTACTTCTGTAGAAGCAAAGTATTACCATTAAAGGAAATTTGCCAGGATTTGTTTACAAATGTATTTATTTATTTGAAAGTTAAGTCTGTGAGTCAATCAGGAATGTGCTAAATGAAACACTTTCTCCTATAAACCAACACCAAATCAAAGCATCAAGTAACATAGAACGAAGAGGACACCCACCTGTCTGTAAGTGTCCTGGTGTGCTTCATCGTTCCTCGAGTCATAATAGTGCTTGATGAAAGCAAAGTATTCTTTTTGCTTTCTCTGGAGAGTGGCTGGTCTTCGGTCAACATTGGCAGGAAGGTAACCCTGGGTAAGAAAGGAGGGCACAAACACACCTGGGGTCATGGCTCATTCACTGGTCTCCACCAAAAGTATGAAGCACACAGGCTCACGTCTCAAGTGGACATGGTGCTCTGAATCCCAACACAGAGTGAATACAGTGGGAAAAAGCAGCACAGAAAACCAGCTGGCTGACAAACAGCAAGTGCCCTCTCCCAGCTCTGGGGCAGCAGGCTTTTTTTCACTTCCCTAAAGATTCACAGTGATGGCCTTCCATGTAACCACTGCATCTCTTCTTCAGTGAATTATCTGTTCAAATGGCTGCCCATCTTTTAGTCCCATGTCTTCTTATGAGTTTATGAGCTCTGTCTACATTCTAGATACAAATCTTTTTCTCAAATACAGGTATTCTCATTATACTGACAGGCCAGCAGTCTTGTCACATACAAGTGTCACACACACTCAACCCTTACCATGAGCTCACCCAGAGGTGTCCAGTTAATTACAAAGTGTTGGAGAGGGGCACTCACCACAGAGTGGTTGAACATAAGTTGTTGCACCTCTCTCTCTCTCTACTTCTTCCCCCTCTCTCTGCCTCTCCCCATATTTTGAGATAAGATCTTCCTATGTAGCCCAAGCTGACCGCAAATCTGTGATCCTCCTGCCTCTACCTCTGGAGAACTTGGATCTCAGGCATGCACCACCTGGCCAGGCTTTTGTCGCATTTTTCTAATAAAAGGCCAGATTACCAGTACTCCAGCTGCTTCACAGAACAGCTGTAACATCCACTAAATAGTAACCAACCTGAGTGTGCACAGCAGTGCCAGGCATGTGCTAGTGGAGGGTCACCCACCTGGGCTCCACATAGTCCTCCTAACCAAAGCAGCCTAGCATACCCTGTGAGCCACCAAAACAACCCTTCCTGATGGGGACCCAGCCCTGCCCCGTGTGTGGAAAGGCACAAAATTATGAGACCTAGTGACAGATGCTTCTTCAGCAAGCTAAAGACATCCACAGATGGATATTCAGAGACATCCATCCCAGGCAGTGGACTTTGTCCATACCCTTTTCCCTCCTACAGCTATTTCTGGTCTGCATCATCTCTTATGTAGAAAATATTAACTTCCTAAGATACTTCTTGTGCTTTGTACTTAGCTTAGGAAGGCACAGCCCTACCAGGCATGGTAGTCTCAGGTCCTAGTCATTGCAAAGGCCTTCACCATCCCTGCTTACAGTAGAGGACACAGGCCTAGGAAACCAAGTTAACATGCTACGTGGATATTAGGCAGACTCAAGCTGATCCTCCACCTCAGAAACTGCTCTGAACTGAGACCCCACACTTTCCAGAGTGCCAGCTGGCCCCAACTCACAGGAAACCTGGGAACACTCCACAGTGAGTACCACAGACAGACAACAAGATTCATGCCAGACAGTCTGCTCAGCTACGGATCACACAACACTGGGGAGAGGCTGGGCCTGTAGGAAGTGGTCTACCATGAGGGACACACACATCATTTTCCACTTTTTTCCCACCCTGAAGGGCCTTTCTCCCTTCAGAGCCACAGAGCTCCTGTGAGAATCAGACCACGTCAACATCACCACCCTAAAATTTCCAATAGCTTCTACTCATACTCAGAATGAAAATGTGGCTGCCAGGCCTCTTGAATCCTGTCTGGCCCTCCCCAACCCACTAAGAATCCACACCCTCCTTCCTTACCACACCCAACCTGCCTCTCTGGCTTCAGAGCTATGCTTTCTGCCTCACTCTGGACTTACTCATCCCTCTGCTGGGACCCACTGGCTCTGAGTGAGGGCTACCAAGTCCAACCCTGCTCCCTCGTTTCTGTAAATAAAGTTTGATGGGACCACAGCTGTATATAAACGGGTTCTCTGTGGCAGCTTCAGTTCAGCAAAGGCAGACCTACACAGCCACAGGTGGGTTGTACCACCTATAACACAGACTGGCCAGCCCCTCAGCTGCTCCAGCCCTTTGCAGCCTGGTGGCAGCCTTTCCACAGTCATACCCTTCTTCAGTTTCAAGCCATCCTCTGCTATCTCAGGATCCTGGTAGAGTAACTTTTGTTACTTATTGGTCTTCTCTCTTCTATTAGCCCATTGAACCAGGGACTGTCTCATCTGAGCTGCACACAATGGCAAATGTAGGACTGCAATTGACAGGACCTCTTTAAAAAGACCAGACTATGCCTCCAGGCATCTACATGGCCCTCTCTTGAGTCCTGGCTCAAATGTCACCTCTCAGCAAGGCCCACTGGGACCACTCAGGTTAATAGCACCTGGACCTCTTCTACTACTCAGGATTTTTCTGTAGCACCTATCACTTTCCATCAAATTACTCAAGTTACCCTTTGTCTCCTCTCACCAGAATGCAAGCCCTTCCCCTTTGCTCACAGATATCCCTGAAGGACTTTAGAATACTGTTTGTACCCAATAGATATTAAATACATAGTTGTTGAATGAATGAATGAATGATATCAACATGACTTCCCTTTTGGAAAGAAGGTCACACACAGTACTAGAGGCCCAGGAGAGATGCCTGAGCTAAGATGACAAGTAAGCCTAAGTCAGCACACTTTTCTGCTTTTGTTTGGTTTTGATGGTAAAGAAGATGGAGGTGGGGGAGAAGGGGAAGCAGCAAAGATGCCCCAGGCTGGGCAAGGGCCAAAACAGAGGCTGGCAGGCAACGGGCATGGAGTTGCATGCACAGGCTGAATAAAAGGGCCTGTGTGCCAGGCCAGGGGCCCAGCTGACAGTGCAGGACAATGGGGGCCATTAAGGTGGACAGCAGGAAGTGGTATAGACATCAGTGCACAAAGGACACCAAAGATTCCTTAGTGAACATGAGTGAGCACTCTTAGAAACAAGCCCTGTTCCCCAAACTTTAACTTACTGAAATGCAAATTCTAAAAGGCAAGTAAGTATGTCACATCAGAACACAGGCACTAACCACTCCCCATACTCCTGACACCCCATTCCTGGAGGAAAACACACATGCACAAGTAGAGGCCTTTCGATAATTAAGCAAGACTAGAAATTATGCAAATGAATATATTCAAGTATGCAATGAATTTTAAATGACAGAACCACAGAAAACTTAATTGCTGTATTAGCATGCTATAAAAACACTAATCATAAATGTAAAACAATGCATGCATATACTTACATCTAAATTGTCAACTTGTCCCCTCCCACTGTGTTCATATGCAAAGCTGCCTCAACACATTGAAAGAAGATAAGATGATACTGGAGTTTTCCTTATCATTTTTAACCATTGTACTCAACTAGCAGAAATGTTAAATGTTTAATTAGTTCTTGTTCGATGTTTCTGAAATAGTTATTAAAAAAAGAGCCAAAACTATGATTCTCCACAGCACTGATTCTTGAGAAGGTACTGGAGTGCTCACATTAATTTAAATGCTGCATCGCACAACGGGTGGTTCAAAGGCATGTTCTGGCTCACGTGTGTACATGCACTACTTCAGAAATGACAAGAGCCATGCTTCTTATCTTTCTCCACTGAAGCAGCAACCCTCTCATCAGTGAAAAGCAATGCTCCTCCACGGACACCACGGCCATGCTAATGACAAACCCTGGACATGCTGGAGAAAACCACTAGTGTGCCAGGCCTTGAACAAGGGTTATAGTCCAGTGCAACTCTGGTTATTTGTCTTTCTAAACTGAACACATGATTAACTGTTCTCCCTCTGTGTGCCCTGATACCTTTCAGTCCTACCAGGACTGAGAGCCTGAATGGACCACTGCCATCTTGCTCACTGAGAGCCATCTAGACAACCATTTAGCCCTACTCATCTGACATGCCCTCCACCACCAAGCCTAACCCCCAGGGCTGCCTTCAATGGGCCATGTGGCTTCCAGTGACCATCTCCCCAGCTAGCTCTTGAGTGCTCTGCCCTATGAGGAGCTAAAGAGTCCGACAACAGAGGACTCCAACCCTGTGCACACGAAGACCCCTAGGATCCCAGGTATCAGTATTTTTGGAGCTCCCAAGTGGCACTAACACACAACCAGAGTAGGAAAAAAAACACAGGTCAGGAACTTGCCACATTTCACAGCGGCAAGCAGGTGCTCCATGGACCTGTCAGTTTGTAACACACTGGAGTTGGTGAACACCTGACGCCAGTTTGACTGGAGAGACCACTTCTCTGCCCCTCACAGCTTTGAATTGTTGCTGGGTTCTCACACACACACACACACGTACATCATTTTCTAAAATATCCTTGTGACCCCTAGACTTATCAAGGGCCTGGCAAGGTGACATGTAAGAAGCGCCTGCTGAATTAGGAAGGAGTATAATGTGGTTCCCATTGTCCACAGGCTCTGACTACAGAAAACATGCTCAGGCTGACTATGTCTGTGAGCAAGGAGACTGGCAAGACAGCTTCTGGGTCAATAACTCATGGCTGAAGAGGCCCACACAATGCTGACCACCTCCTAACTGCCCACTCCCATGTCTGATGATAAGGCCCTCAGCTAGTAGGCTCCCCTCCTCTGGACCCTTGAGCATCCAAGCAGCAGACTTAGCAGTGGAGATGGCAACACATATGTGGTGAAGGCACAGTACCCACTTTTCCCCTGCAGAAGAACCAACTCTTACTTCCTGCTCTCGCTGCCACAGACACTGGCCCCTCCACCCTACAGCCCTTAGCCACCCAACTTCTTTCCCAACTCTTTCCCAGTTATCCCTGTCTCAACTCTAACTCCCTCCCAAAAGCCAGCCTCCCCTCTCTCCCCATTAGGCCCCTCTTCCCTGCCAGACACTGGCTGAAAACGACCTGGTGACTGGTTACCGACCTACACCCCATCAGAAAGCACTCTGCTTCCAGGGAACCTCCTATGTGGGACTCATCTAGCATGCAGCAAGTGCTCAATAAGGGGCAAGCAGTGTATTGAGGGCACAGGAACATGTCCTAAGGGAAGGGCTCCCTGTGCATGCAGTAAGAGCTAGGCCTGCGCGAGAACAGGTGATAGAGCGGAAGGCACTCCTCTCAGCTCTGCAGGCCCCAGGGGAACAGACATGGTCTTTTTCTCTCCCTGCAATTTTCCAGCACCAAGCACAGTGCCTGAAACACAAAGAGCTTGATAAATCAAATGACTACATGAGCCAACCAATGAAACTCCCAAGGCTTTACCCTTCCAGAAACACAGCCTCATCATTCCCTCAACTCTTAGAACAAAGCTCAGGAAATCTGCAGGGTTTGGGGAAGACAGTTCACCTTAGCTCCATCTTTTCCCACCCCCCCCTGCTACTACCACCACTCAGCTGGTACCTAAAGGGCTAAAGGAGACAGCACACCCTACCTGTGTTCCTGCCTACCCCGCCCCCACCATGTCCCTCACCAGGGAACACTGACATCCTTCTGCGATGCCGCATGAGCAGGCCACTATGCCAAGGAGCCTTGCCTGGCATGCTCTAGTGTTTCATTACCCCGGAATCATCCCCTTCCCTTCTTGGTGCCCTCCCTCTGGAAGGACAGGCTTTGCTCACCAACCTAACACTTCTCTACTTCTCGGAACCAGGGCCCAAGAGAAGGTCAAGAACTATACATTCTTGTGCCAGCAAATCATTCCTCTCCACCCTCCCAACATACCCACAATTGCTTCAAAGCCTGCGGTATGAAGTCTCCTCCCCATGAGGCTGCCCTCAGCACTGGGCTGCCCCCACCAATTGTCCACACTTAGTCCTGAGCATCCACAAGTATATCACCCCAGACCATTCAATGCCTGTCCCATGGCTGGTCTGTACCCTAACCTCCTAGTCAAGGAAACTGAGGATCTATTCTTCACTGCCTCCCCAGCAAAGTTCCCTGTGACCAATGACAGTCAAACAGATGGGCCCAAGAAGGCAGGATTTCCTTTGACTTGCTCTGCCAGCACTCCTGATTACAGACACCCACCAACAGGATGGAGCCACCCTGCATCTCCCCTGCTGCTCCTGTCTGCTGACACCCAGTGCCTATTAACATGGCAACCACTGAGCAGCTCAACATCTTGGGCATCACAGCTATGGCTTGCAGAGATGCAAACCCAAAAGAAAAGAACAGGAGAAATTAACTCACACAGGACTTTCCACCTTAATAAATACAAACTTGCAATAAAGTATCTGCAAGGTATTATCACTAGCACTTCCTTCAAACTAATCCCAAGAGTTTGTAACCTGTCTTAAAGGACAGCTGGTATAAATGCTTAAAATACAAAACACAAAACAAAAATATAAACAATCACAGCAGGTCTAGCTTTAATTGCAAGAGAATATTTAATCAATAAATATTCACTGTTCAGAACTGAATCTGCATTTAGGATTACGAGATACTAAACCGCAAATTTATTAAGACTCATTAGTGAGCAAGAATCTTTTAAACACTGGAAGTCAGACCCAATTTAGAGTAGGCACTTAGCGTTCCCTATTGACTTGCCTACAAAAAATAATTTAAAAAAAATTTTAAAAAGGAAAAGAGAAGAAAGCTGTCATTAAACTTTCTGAAATTTTCAACAGGGACAAGGTTTCCTCCAATCTTAAACCAGGGTTAGGTACATGAGGGCAGGCGGATGGCCACCACCCCCCAAGACTTTTCCAGAAGGGCTTCCAGACAGGCAGTTAAGAGCAGAGGCACCGCTTCCACCTTCCATCTCAGAAACACAAAGTACTTCTAACATCTATTTATTTCCATTTTTTTTTCTCTTTGCTAACAGCATTACTAATCCTTAAAACACACACTGTGGTAAAACATACTTCCCTGTTTCAACCTCTCAGAAATAAATAATCTTCTATGCTGTACTATCTGAATCACAGGTCTGAGCATATTATAACGGGTGTTTTTTTTTAAATAATAAAAATGAGAGAATAATACAGTTGTCACAAGTTATTGCTTATCCTCACTTTCTACCAACCTTGTCAAATCAACCTTGAAATTAAGCCAAGAATGGACAATGCTGTCTTGGCCACGGCAAAGCCCCATGTCACCATGCAACAGACAGGCAAGTACACAGCCTCGGCTGCTGGGCCACCATCAACAGCCAGCCAGGTAGCTATGCTCAAGAGAACGGGTGTGGGGCTGAGCATGGCACAGACTTACTGAGAGGAGCTTCCACGTAATTGGACGAACTGGCTTAGGGACTCCAGACCAGCTCAGCTTCCGTAATTCCTCTGTTGACAAAAAGAAAAAGGGACAAGGAAAAACAGGGTTTACAAAATGTTAGTGAATTTCCCCTATGACTTAACACATCCCACCAGTGTCGCCAGGATCAGTGGGCCCCATAAGTGGACCCACAGTAAGCCTAAGTGTAAGCATTTCAGAGACTGCTTGTCCTCAGCACATCACTACTCTCTTAAACAAAGCTAAATGCTTCCTTACCTTTTCCCTCCCCCAACACCAAAAGCTAAGTCCCCAACTGGAGCACCTTAACTATTTTTGCCTTCTCTCTCTTCCACCCCTCATCACTCCTACCTCATTCTGTGTAAGAAGACCTATATGATCACAGCATTTTCTCACATTGGTTTCTTGGAGATAAGCTCATCTTTGCACAGCACTAATAAAGGATGTAGCACAGTAAATGTAGCCAGGACAAGAAAGCTTCAAGGTGGACCAACACAAGGCAGAGGAATAGGGACGGGATGGCCAGGTACAAGGCCAGGGCCTCAGAGGATTAGCATAGTAGGCGCCCAGGGAATGAGGATAACGGACCCTGATTCTGTCTGAGCTCTGCCTCTCCCTGAGCACTGCATTCACTTACCCTGAGTGTCTAGAAAGCCACATCAATGTGTGGATGTATCAACATGCATCCAATTCCACCGAATCTGAGGCAATTACTTCCTTCACTTAAGTTAGGAATCTGCCATGAGGGTCTTCTCCTAACAGCTCTGGGCTAACGATTAACACCAGGAATAAATGATTAAAGAGAAGACTTTGGTAATATGATCAACAAAATGCAAAGTCCTGACATTTAATCTTTTTCCAATTACTAAAGCTTAAGTAAAATGAGTACAGGATAAATGGACAGTCACAGCAGCAATAACTTGCATCTTCCAGCAATCTCAGAAAGTATCAAACCTCACCAGTTCTCTAAGGATGCCATGAAAAGCAGGAATCTAATATATGAACACCAATAATGCAGTGTTTACCAATCATGTTCACAGAGCCTCTTCTGCATAGCTACAGTTTTCTGATTACGGTTTATGAAGAAAGCACAGAGGAAATTCACGTGTTAATGTTTTCTGAACCTGTCCGATTAAAAGAAACTCTCAAAAAGTCAAAAATCTTGAATGCATATCATGAGACAACATTCTAACTTTGTTTATGCTTTAGAAATTAAAGAGGGCTTTCACATACGTTATTTTAGTTGGTCCTCAGAACAACTTGCATTAATTAGGCCTATGAGCACAACTGTGTCAATGAGAAATGGTCTTAGAGAAGATAAATGACTTGACCAAGGTCACACAGGACCTAAATAACCTTCAGTACCGTACCAGGGTCTTTTCACTATATTAATTCCCATTCTTAAAGAAACTGTAAAACACAGAAGACAGACAATGAGATCCAAAATAAAATCTTGGCAGATCCAAATAATAACAGCAGGATATCTGAAGAATAACACCCATACAAGCTGGATTCACACTAAGAATGAAGAAATGGGTCAGTGCAGAAAATCTCTCACTTCAGAGGTGTAATGAATTTGCTCCACAGGGAAAAGCCACATTTCCATGCTGATACATGCCCCATGTAGACTTTCCCCCCAGGGCGGACTCACCACTCTCTGGCAGAACCCCAGCTGTACCAAGTACTCCCACCTCCCCCCAGCAATCCAGGGGTGGGGAACAGGCCCAGCGGAGTTAAGCCCTCCCCACCCTGCTCCAAAGGGGACCTGAATGGTACCTGATGTGAAGTTAAGCCACATTCACCAGGGGCTAACTCTCAATGGCCTGGGACCCTATCTGAGCCACTGAGCAGAGAGCACAGTTGCTGGTGGATCCCAAGAAAGATTCTCATTCTTGAGAATGTTTCTGGAGGTGACCCGTTCCTTCTTCTTTACAAGTCGGCAGGACAGATGTGAGGATCAGGACTGTTGCAGCCATCTAGTGCCCAAGCACCCTGAAGATGAAGCCAACTAAGAGTGGGAGGAAGAACCCAGAGATAGGTAGGAAGCAGAAGCCCAAAGTGAGCAGGATGGCCAGATACAAGAACTTTCCAAAATCAACAGCTTTCCTCTACTAGCCAAAAAGAAATAGAAAATGTCAGAGACATAAGCTTAATAAGAACTGTGCAGTATCATTTGAATAAAACCGTCAGGCTTCATTTAGAGAAATATATAAAGAGAGGAAGTCTCTCTGGCCAAGTTCACTGGCATCAAGTACTGAAGGTGCACTTCATCTAGGCCAGGAAGGAGGCTGGGGGTAGGGAAATGACAATCATGAGCATCAGCAAATACAGCACCCCCCCCCCACCCCATGCCTATAGCACACCCTGTGCTTAAAGGGCTCACCTCCAATTCCAAGAACAAAGCAAACATAAAACTCTAACTCTACCAAGTGCTCACAGAAGGGGCAAAGGGTAGTAGAAACTGTAAATCGGGATATTACATAGTTAGGAAGGTTAGGCAAGTTCCTTCAAGGAAATGAGAGATGATATGAAGACTCTGAAGACCGGGTGAGAAATGAGACTATGCCCAGAGAGCAACTTGTGCAAAGCCTAGACTCATGTGGAGAGCAGACTGAAAGAGCCAAGAGTGGTCACAAGGAGAACACTCAACAGGCTACTTAAGCTCACTGGAGAGGGAACGGTGGCAGGGAAAAAGCAAGGCCCAAAAAGATCATTAGAAGCCAAAAGCAAGATGACTCAAACTAGTCTGACAGATGGATCTAAGACTGAAAATGATAATGCTGCCAATTCTCACTTTAAAAAATCTTTAAGTTCAATGTAAAGCCAATTAAAATAGGATATGCTGGATATCTAATATATTCTGTAACTTGACAAAAGGATTCTTAAATTCATCTGGAAGAACAGCATAAGAATAGCCAATAAGATTTCCAAAACATTAATGCAAAGAGACCTACACTAACAGATAAGAAAGTTTATGACAGAGTTAAAGAAATTAAGAAAATGGGATTCTGTGAGAGACTAAGAGAAAGAAACCAAACCAAAGGAACAGAATGAGACATTCAAAATTAAACCTTCCCACTTGTGAGCACTGAGATGGGATGAAGACTACATTTCAAATCATGAACAGTCAACCAACGGACTTCATTCGAAATGGTATCCTGTTTTTAGAAAAAGACACTACATCATGTATCTTACCACACAAAAACTCATTTCTGAAAGATTAAAAATCTAAATGGGGGAAAGAAGCAGGGTAGATGTGAGGTGTTACAAATACTAGAAGAAAATATGGAATATTTTGCTTTCTTCAGATGGGGGAAAGCTTTCCTAAGGAAGATACAAATCTCAGAAACTATAAATAAAAAGATTAAAGTAAGAATATAAAGACTGAGGAGTAACTACACAGTGAAAGGCACTACTAGAACGTTAAACAACAAATGACATACTCAAAAAATTCATTAACGTCACTAATATATAAAGCACACATACAAGCTGGGCACCAGTGGCTCATGCCTATAATCCTAGCTACTTGGGAGGCTAAGAAAAGGAGGACAGCAGTTCGAGGCCAGCCCAAGCAAACAGCTTGTGAGACCCATCTCCAAAACAACCAGAGTGAAAATGGACCAGACGTGTGTCTCAAGCGGTGGAGTGCCTGCTTTGCAAGAGCAAAGCCCTGAGTTCAAACCCCAGTACCACCAAGAGGAAATAGAGGAGGCTAGTGAATGTACAAAAACAAGACATCCTTGATGGTGATCAAAGAACTATAAACTAAAGTAAGAAAATCATCAAAAATTGATGATAAAATAGGTAATATCCAATATTGAAAGGACTTTGGGTAAATAGACACTCTCTTACAGTTTGGTGAGAATATATACTGGTATAACATTTTTGTTGGTCAAATTTTAAAAATCTATAACCTTTGAACAGCAACTTCACCTTAAGAAACCTATTCTATCAGTATATTTCCCAGAGTATGAGAGGAAAGCACCCAAGAAGATTTGTTTGAGTACTGTAGTATTAGCAAAGCATTAGAAACAACCAAAATGTCCATTATTGGGACATGATTAAAAATCTTATATCTATACTCTAGAATACATTATTACCATAGAAAAAAATGGATAGCTTTTTGTGTGGATATGGAATAATAAAAAGGGAACAATACAGAACAGTGTGCAGATGTACCATTTATTTTTATAAACATATACATAAGGCTCTGACAGCACAACTGGCCTCTGGCAAGGGTTATGGAATGGAATGAAGGCTGGTGAAAGACTTCCTTTGCACTGCGTGCCCTACTATGCTTCTACAAAGCTACAAACTTCCTATGGTATCTACACCTTCTTCTCCAGGTTTTCACAAGGCCCAGTCCAAGTCCTGCCAGATCTAAGATACCTTCTCAATGAGACCAATCCCCACCCACTTCCTTCTGCTGTGGAGCCAATCCACCTAACTGCCTGCAGAGCTATGTGCTGAGCTTGTCCTAAGAAGGTTCTTTGAAGTAGCTGTGCCATCTTAGACAACACAACAGCAAGGTACCAAAGTTTCAATTGCCAACCCCCCCCACCCCAATCCTGGTCTAAATTTACTGCTGTTTGTTTTTTTCATTTTAGTCATTCTAGGAACTGTCAAATGGCACATCATCAAGATTTTAATTAGCAATTCTGTGATGACTAATGATGTGGAGCATTGAACAGATTCTTGTGTACTTGTTGGTCATTTCTATGCGTTTTGGGAAGTGCATGTTTAAATCTTTTCAACACGTCTCTTATTGGGTTCTTTGGCTTTACTGTTGCTCTATAACCTGTTTCTAATGGCTGGCTTCTCTTCAAACTATGGGTCATGTTTCCCTGTTATATTACATACCGGCTGCTTTTCTGTTGAATGCTAGATTCACTGGATATTAATCTGTCTCTCTATAACAACAGAACTGGGTCTTGTGAGTACTGTCCTTTGCCAACCACCCAGATCTTATCCATCCCAGCATAGTGTGCTAGGGACACTACAGGAGAATGAGGTTTTTTTATTCCAGGTTCTCACACACGGCTCCTTC